AATATGTTTGTTTGAATGATTGATCACCATTAAAACTTGTATGTTAGCTATCTTGGTTGGAATTAAGAGTAGACACCATATGCCTTAATTCGAATTGAACTATGAATAGGAAGAGTATGTACGGACATTCAACAACAGGGATTAGATACATGCTTTGTTGTTTAAAATATTCTTCTATACTTAATGGATTTCTAATGCTTAATTTAGGTTCGACAACAAGGATCTAATTAGGGAATTAGGAATACAAGGTTAGGACAGGACACCATGGCTTAATCATACTTTAGCTAAAATCAATCCGTCAATCTGAATTGAACTTGTTAACTGATTTGCTTGAGTCAATTCTTTCTTTCTTTCTTGTTTTCTGTTTTGTGCGGGGAATTGAATTGAATCAATCTATCATCAATCATCGTGGGATCGACCTCGCACTTACATGTGCTATACTTACGAACAGCTCGTGCACTTGCGAGTATCACAAGTTGAGGATGTAGCTGAATCAATTTTAGCGCAGTTGAATCCGAAAACAACAGGTATGAGTGAGGGGCTTAAGTGAGGGGTCCAATCCAACCATGTGTAAGTTGAAAATGTTGAAGTTTAAGAGTTGGATTAGACCACTCACTTAAGCCCCTCATTTATACCTCCTAATTGTAGCCTTTCCGTATGGTAGATTGTGCTAAATGTAATAAAGCACTTATCAGACTAAGATATGGTACTTTTGGACCAAGCGTAATTTTATCATTATCTTTAAGACGAAACTAATCTTTTTTAGTGTGTAGGTTATAATCTCATGGGTTACCTTGATACTCACAAGTGCCCATCTCCATTTGTCAAAACAAAGCTCATACTCATGCCTATACCGCAATGGTACACCAAGGTGTTATGTAACACATTGTCCTTGCTTTTGTTTGTAAACTAGCTATATCCATCATAATAGCCAAAATTTACCATGAATTTTGGAATAAACTTTCTAAGCATTATACCAATCGAGCTCGTTTTCAGGTAATGAGCCTCAAGGAACGCCTCAGTCTCATCCACTGTAAATCCGAGTCTATGTGTGACTATCTGCAAACACTTAAAGTTATCTCTGATGAACTAGTTCTGATCAACAACAGTGAATGTGTTGCATGCTAAGTCTCCAATTGGAGAGTTCATTTGTCTTGGAGCAGGATTCACAAGCTCACTTAGGATTGTACCATCATAGGCTTCAGATGCCAAAGGGACAACTCCTTCCTCAGTAGTATGTTCCTCCCTAAGTATCAACTTTGGGTGAGTGATATTGGTTGGTTGATGCCTAAAGACATAAGCACCCTTTTCCTTGTAATTCTTTTGACCACTAATCTAATTGTTCAATTGTTCATTCGCAGAAATGTGGTTCCTAATCCTTTGCTTACCATTCACTAACCTTCCCTCAGTAGCCAGACCCCCAGTCACAGTATTGTTAGACTGGCTCATAAACATAGAACCATCAGTCCTTTTGCCAGATTCCAATGAAGGCTTATTAGAAATGTCATTTAAAGCTTTCCTTAGACCAAGAGTCTTGTTTTTAGATGTTGTCCAGACTTTTTTCCCATCAGCCTCCCCACTTTTGGAAGAGCCAATATGACCATAATTGTGCTTTCCGACATTTACACCAAAGGACACTCCATCATTCGTAGAGCCTTCACTCACATTTTTTAAAGCATCGAACCTAGACCCAAAGTTGCCACCTCTAGATCCCTTGTTTCCCAAGTTGTTAACCACATGCTTGGGTTTCCTTCTAACAGGCATATTCATCCAAGGGCCTCTTAAGTTTTCAAGAGCACAATCAATATTCTCTTGTTGATCGGTTCATAATTGTATATCATTTTGTACCCTTATAGCTTATGATTTCGTCATGTTTTTTTAGTTAAACTTGTGCTTTTAATCTCTTTTGTGTTTATCATTAAGTTCATTAAGCTTTAGGTAGCAATGGTGGCTTTGGATAGGAAAAGATACAAAAACGCGAAGACTGAGTTAGCAATTCGTTTCGGCCTTAACATCTTCATCCTACCTTGGATTGGCCCAAATAACATGTGGTTGGAAAGATGACATTCTGAACTTCAAGATGGAGGGCTCAAAGTTTTCATTTGCTTAAGAATAGCTCAATTCGTGAGCCCATGAAATTGCTTGTCATTCTAACCTAAAGATGAGCTGATTGTTGCTTGGTCATGATGAGCTATGCATGAGCTATGATTTCTGGTGAGATTTGTTGGTGAAGTGCAGTAGCCAAAGAAGAAAAGAAACTGATTTTGTATTGCATTGGTGTGTTAGGTAAGGTTGGTGAAGTGGGTGTTGTAGGTGAAAGCCATTCTCAATTCAGATTTCTCACTTCCTTCTCCCTACAAATATTATTTCCATTTCACCCCAAAAAGAAACACATTGTTGGATTCACACTCCCACAATTCATCCATCCTTCACACTCTCATCATTCCCCAAACAAATTCAGAAATCATCCTCAAACACTCCCACAACCCCAAACACTCCAGCCATCAACTCAAAGCTCTAAATAGCCCCAAATCACCAAAACTGTCCCAACAAGCCTCTCTTCCATTTCCTTACGAATTTCCTTTTTCTCAGCCATCACTACTCACCCAAACTCATCCTAAATCACCTCTTTAACCTTCATACATCCTTCTAGATGTAGAGAAGCTCTTGGAGAAGCATTAGACATGGAGAAGCTCTTGGAAAAGCATTGGACACCACACGAACTTCATAAAAGGGTTTTTCTACTCTTATTGCATTTATTATGTTTTCTCATTTCTGTTTAAGTTTCTTTCCCATTATGAGTATCTAAATCTATAACTAGGGTTTTGATGTAACCTAACATGAATATTCTACGTTTATAAATTTCAAGTTTCAAGTTTGATTCATGATTCATGTTCTTATTCATTATGCATACCTGCCTTTATGCTAATCAGAGTGCCTAGATATCATTCAGATTTTGTATCTTGGTTGGAATTAAGACTAGACACCATATGCTTTAATTCTAATTGAACTATGAATAGGAAGAGTACGTATGGACATTCGACAACAGGGATTAGATACATGCTTGGTTGTTTAAAACATTCTTCTATGCTTAATGGATTTCTAATGCTTAATTTAGGTTCGACAACAAGGATCTAATTAGGGAATTAGGAATACAAGGTTAGGACCAGACACCATGGCTTAATCATACTTTAGCTAGAATCAATCTTTGAATCTGAATTAGACTTGTCACTTGAATCCTTATAATCTAGAATTAGATTGTTATGGTGAATCGAATGCCCTAGTCTCCAAATCTATTTTCCAACCTTCAAAACCACCCTTTGTTGCACTTGTTTACTTTGCTTCATTTGTTTTGACAATCATAATCACTTTCACTTTAAACTCTATTTTAGACTTAACTTCCTACTTTCTTGAATTCGGTAATCTAAGTACATAACTAAGTTTAACTTCTCAGTCCTTATGGGTATGACCTCGTACTTGTCTTGCTATACTACTAATTAGCCCGTACAATTGCGAGTTAATATAACAACAAATTTTGGTGCCGTTGCCGGGGACTAAACGGAAGTTATTCCCTAGTTATGTGCCCAAGGTTACCCTATTCTTTTAGTGTTTCTAATTAATTCAAAATTTCTTTTTCAGGTAGTTTATGTCTGAAAGACCAAGTGAAGTCTGCACGTTCGAGATTTTTGAATTGTCTAGAAAGAGAGTTGTTAACTGCAAAAGAGCAAGCTCTTGCTACATTTACAAGTCTTGCTCTCCATACTGACCTTCCTGGTTCTTCACCTTCAAATTCGGAAGCAAGTTCAGACCAAGAACAAGAGATGGCTGCCAATGAGTTCATGGGAGACCTTGATATCCCAACAATTCCAACATCCCCTTCAAGCATCTTGCTACCCATCGTAGCTAGAAACTATGAGCTTAAATCTTCTCATCTTAATATGTTACCTTCCTTGTATGGTTTACCTAATGAAGATCCATTGACTCATATAAAGGACGTTTTTAATGTTGTGAGTTCTTTTCCGTTGACAGGTGTGAAAAAAGATCAACTTCGAATGAGAGTGTTTCCATATACTTTAAAGGATAAGGCAAAGTATTGGTTGAATTCTTTGAAGCGTAGTTCACTCATCACATGGGTTGCCATTCAAAAGAAGTTCTTGGAGAAATACTTCTCCACACAAAAAACCGACATGCTTAGGGACAAGATCTTGTTATTTGCACAACAAGATGATGAATCGTTTTGTGAAGCATGGGAGAGGTTCAATGGGGTGCTCAATCAATGTCCTCATCATGTGATTCCTTTGAAACTTCAAATGTGTATGTTTTATAAGGGACTAACCCCTTTTAGCCATAATATTGTCACCAATTTTGCTACCATAGCTTGTCCACTTGGGGCTGCATATCCATAATTTGTGCAAGAGCAAGCTAACTTGGTCAATTCTTACAACCAAGGTCCAAGAAGTGATCCATACTCTCAAAGTTATAATCCAAGTTGGAGGAATCATCCAAACTTTTCATGGAGGAATACCCAAAATCAACCCAACTCCCCTTCATTCCAAAGGCAACAACAATCATCATCATCATTGGAGGATATAGTGAAGCAAATGGCAATCAACCAATCCAATTTCCAGCAAACTACACAAGCTGCCAATTCCAAATTGGAAGTTCAAATAGGCCAAATAGCTGCTGAGATAAACCAAAGAGAACCCAACACATGGCCAAGCCAAATCGTGATCAATCCAAAGAACCACAAAGTCAAGGCCATTCACGTGCTCAGATCTGGTAAGATCATTAATAACAAAGTTGATTCTAATCTTTCAAATGATGTTGTGGTTGTAGAAGATGAAGAAGAAGATGAGCAGATCACATCTACAAAAGAGCAACAACCCTAAACATCTCAATATGCTCATAAGGCCAAATCAAATTCTCAGGAACCCAATCCATTCCAATTGGATTAAAGAGATGACAAATTCGTGCCACCACATCTTCAAGAAGATAGATACATGCCACCCGCCCCATATGTTCCACCCATTCCATTTCCAAGCCGTCTTAAGGAAGCAAAGCAAGATAAGCCTTTTAAAGAGATTTATGATATTTTAAGTAAAGTTAATATCAACTTGCCTTTGCTTGATATTGTTGAACAGATTCCTGCATATGGAAAGTTCATCAGGAACTTGAAAACTCACAAGCTCAATTTTGCTCCAAATGAAGAAGTAAAGCTTAACAAGAATGTAAGTGTTGTGTTGCAAAGGAAGCTTCCACTAAAACTAGAAGATCCTGACAACTTTGACATTCCCATTAACATTAGAGACAAAAAGGTTGGAAGAGCCATGTTGGACTTGGGAGCAAGCATCAATCTAATGCCATATTCAGTTTATCAAAAGATTGGCTTGGAAGGGATGAAGAAGACTTCAATTTGTCTTGAACCAGCTGATCATTCTATCAAATATCCAAAATGTATTGTAGAAGATATTCTAGTTTAAGTTAATACACTAATTCTTCCTACTGATTTTGTAATGATGGACATGAAGGACGACCCAAATGGAGATTGTGTTGAAAAATGGCCACAACAAACACAGTTATCAACCCCCTCCATGATTGTGTTGGGTGAAACCGCTGAATTTAAAGTGTTTGATCCTTCATCTCAACGTTCTATCTCTCTTGATACTTGTTTTTCAATTGATGTTGTGAATGATGAAGTTTCTTACAAGATTTTGTAGAAACAGTCCAATGATGCTATAAAAGTTGTCCTTCCACAAGAAGGGGAAGATCATGTTGAACCGGAGTTCCAAGAAGTGGTAGCTGCCTTAGAAGTGTTCCAGCCATACCCACCATCTTTTAGGCCACCAATCGAGCCTCTTGGACCATTCCTCACGAAATTGAAACCATCCATTGTCACCTCAATGTTCAATGTTGCACTCCCTACATAGATGATGAAGAAGAAAAGAAAAAAAACAAAGGAAGCGAAGCAAAATAAGAAAAATTTGGGTGAAGTATCTTGCTATGCATAAGGGTATTGATCCGAAACCCCTCAACTCATCATAAATTGCATAATGTCAACCCATGTGTTCTTTGGAGGCAACCCATCTGTTCTTTGGGTGAAATATCTTGCTATGCATAAGGTGCTTCTTTGGAGGGAACCCATGTGTTCAAGAAGAAGGTGCTTGGTAGGGGTCGACCTAATCGCATCAAGGGAGAGTTTTTCTAAACCTTTTCTTCACTTTTCCCTTTATTATTTACATGTTCTCAATCATTTGTGCTATGCTTTAACATTGAGGACAATGTTCAATTCAAGTCTGGGGGGGAAGGTTTTCAATTTTCGTTCATTTGTCACTAATTTTATTTTAGAATGTCGTACAATCAATGCTATGGAGCTGCCATTGAGGTTTTCATATCAGTATTTTTGCACTTCACAAAAATTTTGCACTCGAATTCTGGTGGCTAATTGCTTTCTTGAGAGGGTTTAAAGTGTTTCTAATTCTCATCCGTACTTATTTCAATTCACTCTAAATGATCTCATTGTTCCATTTTGATTGAATACTAAGGATGATTCTCTTTTGCAGATATCATGTGCTTGCTCTTACTCATGAATGAACTCATTGAAGTGATGCTAGGCTATGTGTGCATAACCATTCTATGTGTTTTCTTTTCACCCTACCCATATATGTGTTCCATCAGCCCTTTTGAAGCCAAACACTTCAAGCCCTTTTCTTCTATCACCCTCATCATTTCCCTACCTTTGTATCTCAATTTGAGATATTTAACCTATTGTAGCCATACCATATAGCTTAGAAATATACCAAGGTGTGCCAAGATAAAGTACCTAAATGAAAAATTGTTGTGAATCTATGCAATGAAGTTAAAGAAGAAGCAAATCAAATTAGCAAATAAGAAAGATAAATGAGAAAGTGTCTCGATATGATCTAAGTGTGAAAGATAAGGTAAATCCTAGGTGATACCATGAACTTTGCAGTCATGCCATTCTAAATCAATGATACCTTGCAGATCAATGAAGAATGCAACCTTGGTATGTTCTTAAGTTACTTGTTTTTCCTTCCAATTCTTCCATTCCCCCTAACCTTAGCCTTTCATTACAACCTTGTGAAAGACCTAACTGATCTTTGAGGATGTATTCATGGGTACTAGTAAGTATGTGTGTATCTCTATTCTTAGTATTTGATTCCCTTCATGAGATCTAACCAAAAATAAATAAAACTACAAAAGTGGTACTCTACGAGTCTTTAAAAGCATTAAATTCATCAATAAAACTATAACCTACGAGTCTTTACACGTGTTTGTAAAACTTGCACCAGTTCAGCACAGTCTTGATTTTTTCGGTTTGATTGTTTGACGAGCTTATGCAATTTTGCAACTTCAGCCTTCAAGGATGCAACTTGTGCAGTCAATGAAGCACATTCTTGGTTCCTTGCTAGCAGACGCAATCCTAAATTTGTCACTAAAGCAGCACTGCGAGCATTGAGAAATTGACCTTCTTCCACTGCTGTTTTATCAGACCTCCTTTCCATTTCATGCAAGTGCATACTTGATAGCATTTCATTATGCATGTTTACAACTTGCACATAAGTAGAACCGGTATGTAAATTGGAATGTAGAAACACAACATTTTCATGTGATGTTTCCTGGGTTGAAGGAGGAGCAAGAGATAAATTCAAATATGAGGAGCTTTCAGGAATCGAAGGGAATTCCATTTTGTTTTCATATTAAAGGAAGTCCTGGTATTTAAATTGGTGGAGCTGGGTTTTTTTTTCTAAGTTGTGATTTTTTTTTTCTGAACTAGGTTTCCTTTTATAGACGTCCATTATGGTACCTATTTCTCAAGCTACACACCCGTAATTTTTGGCTTTCCACCACGAGCTACACACCCATAATTTCTGGCTTTACACCTCGAGTTACACAACCGTGTTTTCTGGCTTTCCACCTCGACCCACTTAATTAGAAAAAAAAAAAAAAAAAAAAGTGAGTAGAGAAGATAGATCCATCTGTTATTTATTTATTTATTATTTTTTCTATTCTCTCTTTCTTTCCTTTTATTTAATATTTCTCCCTCCTTTTTTTTTTATTCTTTCTTTCTCTCTTTCTTTATTATTTTCCTTCTTCTTCCAACCTCCCCCTCTTTTTTTTATTCTTTCTTTCTCTCCCTGTTTCTTTCTTCCCACTGTAAGATCCCACATCGACTAACGAAGAGGGGGTGATGTGCCTTATATGTACATGCCCGCCTCCATCTAGCACGAGAACTTTTGGGAGCTCACTGGCTTCAGATTCATGGGAACTCCAAAGTTAAACGAGTTGGGGGCTAAAGCAATCCCAGGATGGGTGACCCACTGGGAAGTTGCTCGTGAGCTCCCAGAAACAAAACCGTGAGGGCAGAGAGGGGGGCCCAAATCGGATAATATCATGCTACAGCGGAGCCGATCCTGGGATGTGACACCCACCCTCCCTGACCACTCCCCTGCTACTAACTAAACGAAGAGGCTTTCTTTCTTCCATTGTTTCATAAGAACAAATAAACAAGAGCAGCACAAAATTAAAAAGGAAAAAATAATTAATTGTTCCTTGCGGTTAGTTTGGCTTTTGCATCAGTGCACAATTGAAAACCAAGTGGTCTATTGATTCCATGACATATCAAAACAAGACACAGACATGCTGGGATTTTCTTCGAGCACCTAGTGTGCACATAAGGGGTCGCTTTGTAGCTATCCAATGGGTCGTCCATGGAGTTCACAGCTTGTCCCAACGTGCATCCGCCTATGGCTGTGTCTTCTTAGTGTTTCCTAGTGGAGAGAGATGTGGAGAACAACATGGATTTTTGTGTCACTGTGCCATACTATTGATGTATATATTTGGATATATGGATTAAGCAGTAAAACCACAATCACACATATAACAGTGTGTTTGAGTGGTTCATCTGGATGGAAGATGCCATGTTTTGGTCTTAGTGTTTCCTTCTTTTTGGCCGAAGCGGCCGAAGGAAGGAACTTTTGGTCCTTCTTCTTTTGAGTGCGAGGAGTGCCACCACCAAGCCACGAATTTGGGCTTGAATGGAATGTGAGTAGATGGATATGTTGTGCTTCTGACTTCTGATTAAGTGATTAATCGACCAAACAAGGAACCTCCTCTTGGCTTAGGTTCTTTCACTTCCTCGGGTTCGAGGATGGTTAGGATTCGTATGGATGTTTTTGTGATTTTTAGGTTTTTAAGTGAAAAACGTGCGATTAAATTAAATGTGCGTTTAAACGTAAAGACAAGAATTAAAGGGCGATAAAATAGATCGAAGCAATAAATAAAGTAAGAACGAAATAAAAGCGATAAGAACGATAAACTAAATTAAACTTGAAATTAAACTTAATTAAAATGCGATAACAATGAAAAGTAAAGAAATTGAAATAGACTTGAATTTAAAAGACAATAATGCAAATTGCAAGAATTTAAACTTACACTAGGAAAAGGAAGAACTTGCTACATTAGGTGCTTGAAAAGTAAAATCCTAAGTTTAGAAAAAGAAAAGTGCAAGACGAAAAATAGGTTTGTGTGTCTGATGATGTGTGTCTTCTGCCTTCGTTCAGTGAAGTTTATATAGGGCGTCTGTTGGCCCATGGGCTGGCCATTGAATGACCAAATTTCAACTCTTTTAAAACTCTTTCCTTTTGAGGCCCCTTGAATTCGTGGGATTACATTGGTGGAAATTAGGGGTGGCATTTTATACCGAAAAACTGAAAAACTGCAAAAACCAACCGATAATTTACCCCAATGAAACCTCAATCGCGGTAAACCGAACCGCATTTGCGGTATTTAGAACCGAACCGCATTTGCGGTTGCGGTTACGGTATTTGATTTTCAAAACTTGCGGTTACTGCAAACCGCGAATATATTTTAAATAATATTGTCTATATTATATTATATGTAAAATATCCTATTCTTTCACAAGTTGCCAAGGATATCTTTGCAATTCCAAGTTCTACGGTTGCTAGTGAAAATGCTTTTAGCCTAGGCAAGAGGATTGTGGATCCTTTTAGAAGTTCTTTGCATTCTAAAATGGTAGAGGCATTAGTGTGTACTAGTGATTGGCTTAGAGCGGATGAATTTTCCTTTTACAAGGAACCAACGGATGACGAGGTTGAATTCTACAAGGAAATGGAATATATGACAACTTGTAAGTAATTAGTTTATTTATGCTCATGTTATTTATGCTTCTTCTTATAATAAAATGTACTAAACTTATGTTGTTTTATTTGTAGATAGCATTGGTGCTCAAACAACACAACGGGGTTCTTCAAATCCACTCACCACCACCAACACTTGAGTTTGTAACTTTAGTTTGTAACATTGGTGCATTTTGGTTTGTAACTTTAAAGAATTTGGAATTGGAATGCTTGAGAAGTTTAACTTTAATTGGAATGCTTGGAATTGAACTTTAATTTTCTTTAGGTTGTGAATGCTTGAGAAGTTGAGGAGATTGTGAATT